GCTATAAGTTCCTTCTCATTCATTCCTGTCTGCTATAACTTTCTCCCCCTCTTCTCCTGCAGGCAGAGGGACAAATCAAACCCTCACACAATTTGCCAAGTCACTGAACAAGCCCTGTTACTTGCGTGCCAGGCTTTGGGGTGCTTCTTTAGACTGACACGTACATTCTTCAGGGAAAGAAAGGATTGCATCTACTTCTCTGCATAGCACTTAGTAATTGGTCTTAGTAACAGAATCTTGCATGCAGGTGTAAAGTAGTTCTTCTGACTCACCCTGGCAGCGAGACCAGATGCATCTCATTTGCTCCAACTCAAGAATTTAAGAAGCAAGGTTGGGAGTCTGCTTGAAGCAAAAGAGAACTAGAGGGTGAAGCAGGATGTGTGTAGAGAGAAGCACTGAGGAACAACCAGCTCAAAAGAGAGCATAGGTCAAGGTGTCTGCTGCAAGCCACTTATTAACAAAGAAAAGAAAACCCCAAGCACAGGATAAATTTAGACCACAGAGGGCACGTGCTGTACTGGGAGCAGGATAATGATGTCACTGGTCTACAGCCCCACACATGTGGCATCCCTTAAGTTCCTTTCCTTGTTTGTACCTCAGCTGGCCCTGCTCTGATCAGGAGTTGTTATTGTTTATTATTTGTATCATCATCATGTCTGGTAGCTCCAGCTTTGGACCAGGAGCCCATTGTACTAGCCACTGTACAACCACAGAACAGAAACATATTCCTTGCCCCAAAGAGCTTACAGTCTAATCAGTAAAGTTACAATATTACTGTGAGGAATGTTCCCATAGGTGATGCTTGGGAAAATATGCCTCAATGTACTCTTCTGTATTGCAAGACACCAGATTATAGCATCAAGGAAAATTTTGCTCTCACTACAGCTTACCCTGGGCACATGTTTATGTAGATTTACTGGTATATGGCTATCCATGGGCTACCTACTTATGTCAACCCTTCTTAGGCCTAAGGCCTAGAATGACTAAGGCCACGTTTGGTGATCAGTCTTCTGGGGTCTGATTTATAGGGTCTAGTAAAGCCCCGCTCAATCAAATGCTGAAGGTGCCCCCATCTGCACCTCTACTTCTTACTTTCATGGGGTACGTCTACACTACAGCGCTAATTAGAACTAACTTAGTTCGAATTAGTTAATTCGAACTAAGCTAATTCAAACTAACGCATCTAGAACTAAAAACTAGTTTGAATTAGCGTTTTGCTAATTCGAACTAGCGCGTCCACACTGAAACTGGTTCTGGCAGGGCATCGGGTCAGTAATTGCGTTGTGTGGCGCTGTCTGAGGCTATCTGAGGCTCGTGCTTAAAGGGACCCCCCTGGACAGCCGGTTCTCAGCTTTTCCTGCTTGCTTGCCAACCTCGCCGAGGGATAGCAAAGCGTTGGTCTCTGTGCCCGTCTGTGTCGGTGCTTCCCTTTGGGGATGCCGCCGCAGCTGGCAACATGGAGCCAGAGCTCGCCCTGCACCTTCTGGTGCACTTTCTGGACTTGCTGCTGCAAGCCTGCCAGCAATGGCTCGAGGCTG